CCGAGGTTACGCCGTCCTGACCACGCACCCTCACCGACCGTTTGAATGCCTATCCAAGCAAAGGGCCTGGAAGGACTGTATGAACGATAAATGCCTAGAACACGCAGAACAAAAAGCGACAGCTTGGAGAAAGCTTGTCGAACACCACAAGAAAGGACACATCAAAATCCTAACCCAGCCAAACCAGCTGAGGAACACAGACATGGCGCAACTATACCAGGAAGACCCTGAAGACACAACAATGAGCGAAGGATCCGACTTGGAAGAACTAGTCAGCCCCCACTTCAAAGAAACAACACAACAACAACAGTGGAGAGAACGCAAGAAGAAGCTAGAAGTCGAACTCTTAACTGAGGAAGTAAACCTACAATACGACACACAACGCGAGAGATCGGGACAACACGCCGACTACGCGCGACTCTACGACCACGTTTACGAAGAATGGCACGGGAAAGGGAAATTCCAAGGCACCACAGGACTCCGAACTATCCGACTCGAATCATACAGAAAGGCACACGAGGCATTCGGCGCCCCGCGCCTAGACAACGCACAACACCAACACGTCAGACTGACGGAAGGATACAAACTATGGAAGCAATGGATGGACGAACAAGTACACCCTATACCAGCTCCTAACCGGGACCAGGAGAACATGGGCAAAGGCGAAAGTTCCGTCACCTTGCAGAGACAAGACGCCAGAGACTACAGACCAGAGGCCCGAAGAGCCCTGAGTACGACCAGCATCACAATGACACCGCAGGACGAGGCAGCATATAAAGAAGCCAGCGAACGCCGCGAAAAGCGCAGGAACACGCGCAAAGACAGGAAGTCAAAAAACGACTCGGACCGTCTGTAACGGGACAGCAACGGTCAGAAATAAAGTCCCTATACGCCACTGCAGGAGCAAGCGACGAAACGCATGAACACATGACAATACCAGTCAAAATCATGGGACGAACGGTGCGCGCGCTACTCGACAGCGGCGCCCAAGGAAACTATATCTCGCCAAAAGTCGTCAACAAGTACAGAATACCATGGAAAGAAAAAGACGCCCCCTACCAACTCAGGACTGTGGATGGAGAATTCGTCACGTACGGCAACGGAACCGTCGACATGGAGACTGATCATCTACCAGTCACGATTAGCGACCACGCGGAGAAACTCACGTGCGACATCACAGACATATCGGGATACGATATGATATTGGGGATACCCTGGTTACGAGCGAGTAATCCCAGAGTTAACTGGAGAACCGGCCAACTTCAGTGGGACACACCAGGAAGGAATTACGCCTCTACGCAGCCGCGAGAAAGCGCCGCAAGCGAATTCAGAAAGATACTTCGGATCAACGTCATGATCAAGGAATCTAAGGCAAAAGTCAACATCGCAATACCCGAAGAATACCAGGACTACGCCGACCTGTTCAGTGGAGAACTGAAGACAGGACTACCGCAGCACACGCAATTCGACCACGAAATACCCCTCAAGGAAGGAGGAAAGACACACTTCATGCCAACATATCGATTGCGACCAGAACACGAGGAAGCACTCAAAGAATATCTCGACGAGAACCTAAGAAAAGGTTACATCCGCCCATCAACATCAGAGGCAGGATACCCAATCCTCTTTGTACCAAAGAAAAGCAAAGACGGAAAAACGAAATGGAGACTTTGCATCGACTTTCGCAAGCTCAACGAAAACACAATCAAAAACCGATACCCGCTACCACTGATTAGCGACTTACGAGACAAACTGCACGGAGCCCAATGGTTCACTGCACTCGACCTACCAAACGCCTACGGACTCATACGCATCAAGAAAGGCGAAGAATGGAAAACCGCCTTCAGAACCAAATACGGACACTATGAATACCTGGTCATGCCCTTTGGATTGACCAACGCACCAGCAAGCTTTCAGAGTATGATCAACCACGTACTACGCGAATACCTCGACAAATTCGTAGTCGTCTACCTCGACGACATACTCATCTTCTCGAAGACACTCGGAGAACACAAGCAACACGTCCGCATGATACTCAGCAAGCTGCAGGAAGCAAACTTGCTAGTCAACGGCGAGAAAAGCGAATTTCACCAACAAAAGGTCACCTTCGTAGGATACGTTGTATCCCCAGGAGAAATCCGAATGGAAGATTCCAAAATCGCAGCAGTTAAAGCCTGGCCAACCCCAACGAACGTTTCGGAAGTACGATCCTTCTTGGGACTCGCGAACTACTACCGAATGTTCATCCACCAGTTCGGAAAGATTGGCACGCCACTGACGAACCTGACGAAAAAGGACCTACCATTCCGATGGACAGAGGTCGAGCAGACAGCTTTCGACACCCTGAAGAAACGAATCACCGACGAACCAGTACTCAAGATGGCAGACCCAGACAAGCCATTTGAAGTCGAGACCGACGCGTCCGACTACGCAATCGGAGGACAACTCAGCCAACGAGATGACAACAACAAGCTACACCCAGTAGCGTTCTTCTCGAAGAAGCTCAATGGACCCGAGCTTAACTACCAGATCCATGACAAGGAACTCATGGCAGTCATCGAAGCATTCCGAGAATGGAGACACTATCTTAGCGGAACCACCCACAAGGTCAAAGTTTTCACCGACCACAAAAACCTCACATCTTTCCTTACAAACAAAGAACTCAACAAACGACAAATCAGATGGTCAGAATTCTTGTCAGAATTCAACTGCGAAATCATATACAGAAAAGGAAACGAAAACGGCAGAGCCGACGCTCTTAGCCGACGACCAGACCATTTCCAAGAAGCACCAAAAGAAACACACACCCTGCTACGAACCAACGAACACGGGAACCTTGAACCCACAACACAAGACATTTTCCTTACACATCGAGTCACATCAGCAGACAGCTGGACGGAAAAATTTGGGGACACCCCAAAAACCTACAACAACCGGATATGGATACCACCACAACACCTCGACGAACTCATCAAACAATACCACGAAGCACCCTTCCATGGACACCAAGGAACCTACAAAACATGGAACCGAATCCGAACTAGATTCGACTGCGAAAACCTCAAAAAGCACGTCGCCAACTACATCAAGACATGCGACCTATGCAACAAAGCAAAAGCTTCACGACACAAACCGTACGGAGAAATACAACCAATACCACCACCCGACAGAGCATGGAAATCCATCGCATGGGATTGGATCGTCAAGCTACCGCTATCCAAGGAACCCTTAACTGGGGCTATGTACGACAGCATCCTTGTAACCACAGAACGACTCACAAAGTACGCCTACTTCCTACCGTACAAAGAAAGCAGCAACACAGACGACCTAGCCTACACGTTTCTACGAACCATCGTCAGCCAGCACGGACTACCCGACGAAATCATCTCCGACAGAGACAAGCTCTTTACGTCGAAATTCTGGAAATCACTTATGGCACGGCTTGGAACCAACCATAAGCTCTCAACAGCATACCACCCGCAAACGGACGGACAAACCGAGCGAATGAACCAGACACTGGAACAATACCTACGCTGTTACATCAACTACGAACAAGACAATTGGGTCGAACTGTTACCAATCGCCCAATTTGCCTACAACAGCTCCGAAACAGAGTCAATCGGAACAACACCGTTTTACGCGAACTACGGATTCAACCCAGACATGACGAAGGAACCACTCCCAGGAATATTGGCGGAAAAGGCTATCACGCACGCCGACAAACTGCAAGACTTGCAAAGAAACTTACAGCAAGAACTACTTTTCCTTCAACAACGGATGAAGGAATGGAATAACAAGAAAAGAGTTAGAGGACCAACTCTTAAGGAGGGAGACCCTGTCTACCTACTCCGCAAAAACATCAAAACAAAACGACCAAACGACAAACTCGATTTCAAAAAAATTGGACCATTCAAAATCGACAGAGTTGTTTCACCTGTCAACTACCGACTATCACTACCTCGGAAAATGAGGATACACCCAACATTTCATATCTCATTACTGGAACCAGCACCACCCAATGCAAAAATCGAAACACGGCTCGAGACCGAACCAGACCAAGAATACGAAGTCGAAGAAATCCTGGACCTGCAGAAAATCAATGGTCAATGGAAATACCTTGTCAAGTGGAAGGACTACCCACCGTCGGAGAACACTTGGGAACCTAAGAAGAACCTGAAGGGTTGCCCTGAACTCCTCGCGGATTTCCACCGGCAACGGGCACCAGCGGCCCAACATCCACAAAATCATCACCCAAACCCAGGGAAGCCCAATCCACGTCGTTAGAAACGCCCATGGACCGAAGATCCCCCACCACAAAGCGCTCCTGAGCAGAGACCGAAGGCACTACGCCATCCTCCTCATCCAGCTCCCGCATCCCCCGTTGAAACGCTTCAGAACTCTTCTCCTTCACGACTTTCTTCATTCGACGCAAGCGCGCAAGGCGACCAACAGCAGCAGACAGCTGAGTCTGTAACACGAAGAGGGCCTCCTCGGCATCAGCCTCCTCCGCCTCCAATTTCCGCTGCTGCGACAACAGACGAGAAAGCGACGACGCCACGAACGTCCCATCGCAAGTGCGCCCAGCACGCACGCACTCTGAACAGCGCGACGACTTCTCGCCCATGCGACAGGCAAGGTTCTGCCTGAAACACCTGGTACACGGCATCTCGGTGATTGCCCCAGAAACTTCGATACTCTCAGCCAGAGACAGACGGTTGAGCGTTTTACGAGATCGCGATTTTTCAACACGACCTGACATGATGAGCATGCATCACAAAGAAAAACATGCAGAGGAAGGAAAACCTACCAAACCAAGAAACGGGCGACAAAACGACCTACTTATGCGACCCTCAGTCTTAAGGGGCTAAGACAAAGAAGGAGGGGCCTGATGTTACGAACATGGCCTCACGAACCCCGACCCCGGGAAGGAACAACTAAAACCCACCAGGCGGCTGGCGCGCAGCCGCCAGGACAAGAAGACCACGGGACCAATGGGGCAGAGAAAGTCACGTGACATGGATCACGGTCTTGGCAGGTGAGCCAGGACAAAGGATCACGACGAGCCACGAGTGAGCCCAGGGGAAGGATCACCCTTGGATCAGAGTGATCCAGGACAAAGGATCACTAGGGCTGTAGTGATCCAACCAACATCAGTGAGGAAATGAATGGATATATAATGGAAGGGATTTCCTAGCTACATAGACAGTCATTACCTCAGTGATCAATCTAAGCACCTATCTTACCCATAGGTGAGGCCTATCAAGCCTTGACGACTATACTTGTGACCTCGCTCACAGACCTTTATTCTATCTTGTTCAGTGCACAGGCTATAGACTATAGCCGCCCTCGAGACTAACGTCCCCTGTTAGCATAAACCCACGTACCTGTATCTCTCTACGGTTTATCCTAGAAAGCATATCCGTCACAATAACGCGGATCGGCCGTTAAATACATATTTAAATTTAAATAAATCGTATTTAAAACCGAATAAAACGATAACGATATATTTATAACGCTTTTTTACGTAAAATTACGAAAAAACGTAAAAAACGAAATTTTAAAAAAAAACAAACCTAACAAATTCGATAACTACGTCGAAAGAATCGTTAAAATTAATAACCGTTTATATAAAAAAAGACTCGAAAAACGAGGATTTAAAAACGAGTTATATACCCCGCGTATTAAAATAAATATTAAAAAACCGCGATAAAACCATTACCGAAATAACGATAACCGACACCCTTTATATAATTAAAAATAGTAAAATAAAACCTTTTATAAATATTATAACGGATTAATAAACCTCGATATAATTAAATACGATGAAAGTTATAAAAATAAAAATATAATAAATATTATATATTATAATTATAACAAAAAAGGGTATTATATTAATAAATACCGATAAAAACGCAAATTCTAATTTATACCGGAAAGTAACCGGTAAACTAACGCTTTTTACCGAAAAAAAAATAATTATAACACTCTTTTAAAAATTAATAAAACTATTATAATAATATAACGAAAACTATTCGGATTTTATATAATTAACACTAATAATAACGACGAAAAAAACTACTTTATCGTATAAACCGAAAAAAAAATATAATAAAACGTTATTAATAATATAAACTTAATTAAAAAACTCGAATACAAACTTTAAAACGCGAATATCGAAAATATATTTTAATAATTCGAATAAAAAATCAACTTTTAATAAAAAAAAATTATAATAATAACCGGATCGTACCCGTTATCCGTTAACGAGTTATGTAACCTATTTAACAAACTTTATTACGATATTATAAAAAACTAAAAAAACGACCTTACCGAATTCCGGTTCGGAGATAACGAACGATTATAATTAAAATATAAATAATACGAAAAACTATCGTAAATATTTTATATTAACGGATTATACGATTTATATTTTATAAAAAAACTAAAACACGAATTATTTTTTAACTATAACAGGTAAAGAACTATTACGGAATTATACGAAAAAAACGAAATCCGTAAAGTAATAATAACTTATTATAACGCCCGAGGTTACGCCGTTTTAATTACGTACCCTTACCGACCGTTTAAATACTTATTTAAATAAAAAGTTTAAAAAAATTATATAAACGATAAATACTTAAAACACATAAAATAAAAAGCGATAATTTAAAAAAAGTTTATTAAATATTATAAAAAAAGATATATTAAAATCTTAACTTAATTAAATTAATTAAAAAATATAAATATAACGTAATTATATTAAAAAGACTTTAAAAATATAATAATAAATGAAGGATCCGATTTAAAAAACTTAATTAACCCTTATTTTAAAAAAATAACGTAATAATAATAATAATAAAAAAAACGTAAAAAGAAGTTAAAAATCGAACTCTTAATTAAAAAAGTAAACTTATAATACGATATATAACGTAAAAGATCGGGATAATACGTTAATTACGCGTAATTTTATAACCACGTTTATAAAAAATAATATAAAAAAAGAAAATTCTAAAATATTATAAAACTCCGAACTATCCGATTCGAATTATATAAAAAGGTATATAAAACATTCGGCGCCCTATATTTAAATAATACACAATATTAATACGTTAAATTAACGGAAAGATATAAACTATAAAAGTAATAAATAAACGAATAAATATATTTTATATTAACTCCTAATTGGAATTAAAAGAATATAAATAAAAACGAAAGTTCCGTTACTTTATAAAAACAAAACGTTAAAAATTATAAATTAAAGGCTTAAAAAACTTTAAATACGATTAATATTATAATAATACTATAAAACGAGGTAATATATAAAAAAGTTAACGAACGCCATAAAAAACGTAAAAACATATATAAAAATAAAAAGTTAAAAAACGACTCGGACCGTTTATAACGGGATAATAATAATTAAAAATAAAATCCCTATACGCTATTATAAAAATAAACAATAAAATATATAAATATATAATAATATTAATTAAAATTATAAAACGAACGGTATACGCGTTATTTAATAACGATACTTAAAAAAATTATATCTTATTAAAAGTCGTTAATAAGTATAAAATATTATAAAAAAAAAGACGCCTTTTATTAATTTAAAACTATAAATAAAGAATTCGTTACGTATAAAAACGGAACCGTCGATATAAAAACTAATTATTTACCAATTACGATTAACGATTACGCGGAGAAATTCACGTATAATATTATAAATATATCGGAATACGATATAATATTAAAAATACCTTAATTATAAACGAGTAATCTTAAAATTAATTAAAAAACCGGTTAATTTTAATAAAATACGTTAAAAAAGAATTACGCTTTTATATAACCGTAAAAAAACGCCGTAAACGAATTTAAAAAGATACTTCGGATTAACGTTATAATTAAGGAATTTAAAATAAAAATTAATATCGTAATACTCGAAAAATACTAAAACTACGCCGATTTATTTAATAAAAAATTAAAAACAAAACTATTATAATATACGTAATTTAATTACGAAATACCCTTTAAAAAAGGAGGAAAGACATACTTTATACCGATATATTAATTACGACCAAAACATAAGGAAACATTTAAAAAATACCTCGACGAAAACTTAAAAAAAGGTTACATCCACCCATTAACATTAAAAGTAGGATACCCGATCTTTTTTATATTAAAAAAAAGCAAAAACGGAAAAACAAAATAAAGATTTTATATCAACTTTCGTAAACTTAACGAAAACACAATTAAAAACCGATACCCGTTATTACTAATTAACGACTTACGAGACAAATTACACGGAACTTAATAATTTATTACATTCGACTTATTAAACGCTTACGGATTTATATATATTAAAAAAGGCGAAAAATAAAAAACCGCTTTTAAAACCAAATATAAACATTATAAATATTTAGTTATATTTTTTAAATTAATTAATATATTAATAAACTTTTAAAATATAATTAACCACATATTACGCGAATACCTTAATAAATTCGTAATCGTTTACCTCGACGATATATTCATTTTTTCGAAAATATTCGAAAAATATAAATAATACGTCCGTATAATATTTAATAAACTATAAAAAGTAAACTTGTTAATTAACGGCGAGAAAAACGAATTCTATTAATAAAAAATTACCTTTATAAAATACGTTATATTTTTAAAAGAAATCCGAATAAAAGATTCCAAAATCGTAATAATTAAAATTTAATTAACCCTAACGAACGTTTCGGAAATACGATCCTTTTTAAAATTCGCGAATTATTACCGAATATTTATTTATTAATTTAAAAAGATTAATACGTTATTAACGAATTTAACAAAAAAGGACCTACCATTCCGATAAATAAAAATCGAGTAAATAGCCTTCGATATATTAAAAAAACGAATCATTAACGAATTAATATTTAAAATAATAAACCTAAATAAACTATTTAAAATCGAGACCGACGCGTCCGATTACGTAATCGGAGGATAACTTAGTTAACGAGATAATAATAATAAATTATACTTAATAATATTCTTTTTAAAAAAACTTAACGGACCCGAGTTTAACTACCAAATCTATAATAAAAAACTTATAACAATTATTAAAGCATTTTAAAAATAAAAACACTATCTTAACGGAACCATTTATAAAGTTAAAGTTTTTATTAATTATAAAAACCTTATATCTTTCCTTATAAATAAAGAACTTAATAAACGATAAATTAAATAATTAAAATTCTTATTAAAATTCAATTACGAAATTATATATAAAAAAGGAAACGAAA